ACTTGGGCCGATATGACATTCAATTTTCTTCCATTCAAAAACCCCATTAGCGGCTTTTGCCCATGGCTCCTGACTCCTTTAACTTTTTTGGTACCACTAAGAGGCTTCCCCGTCTTGAAGCCCATTTTAAGTGGTCAACGTCTTTAAATTGAGCAGTTTGGACATATGTAGTTCCAGCTTGGCATTGACATTCCTTACTCTGTTTTTTTTTTTTTTCTTTTTTTTTTCTTCTTTCCTTCTTTTTTTTTTTTTTTTTTTTTTGTTCTTTTTTGTTTTTTTTTTTCTTTTATTTTTTTTTTTTTCCTTTCTCTTTTCTTCTTTTTTTTCTTTTTTTGTTGTTTTTTTTTTTTTTTTTTTTTTTTCTTTTGTCCTTGTATTTTTTTTCTTCTTTTTTTTTTTTTTCTGCTTTTTCTTTTTTTTTCCTTTTTTTTTTTTTTTCTTTCTTTAGTTTTTTACACTTTTTTCTTTGTTCGGCTTTGCTTTATGTTTTCTTTTTTTCTTTGGTTTTTTTTTTTCTTTTTTTTGTGTCCCTTTGTTTTTTACTTTTTTTTTTTCTTTTTTCTTTTGTCCGTCTTTCTTTTCTTGTGTTATGTTTTGTTTGGTTTTATTGTGTTGTTTTTTCTTTTCTGCCTTTTTCTTTGGACCTTCTTGTTGGTTATTTATATTTGTTTATGTGTTGTTGGTTGTTTTTCTGCGGTTCTGGGGGGTTAGGGGTCTCTTTGCCTTGCTGCTGTTTCTTGGGTCTTTTGTTTTTTTGGGTTATTTTTTCTCTTTTTTTTGGTGCACTCCTCTTTTCTTTTTCTTTTGCGTTTATTTTATTTTTTTCTTTTCTTTTTTTTCTTCTTTTTTTCTTTTTTCTTTTTCTTTTTTTTTTTCTTACTCTTGTGGCGGTTTTCTTTCTCTTTTTCTTTTTCTCTTTTTATTTTTTTCCTTTTTTTTATCTTTCCTTTTCTTTTCTTCTTATGGGTTCTTTTTTTTTTTTCTTCTTATTTCATCTTTTTTTTTATTTGGGGAGAGGGAGTGGGTGTTTTCCTTTTCTTTTTTTTTTTTTTCACCCTGCTTCTTTTGAGGGGGTGAGAGGATTCTTTTTTTTTCTTAGTTTGTCCTTCTTTTCTTGTTGTTGGGGGGTTTCCATTTTTTTTTTTTTTTTCTGTGCTTTCTTTTCCTTCTTCTTTCTTTGAGGGGGGGTATTATCTTATTTTTTTTTTCCTTTTTTTTTTTCTTTTCTTTTTTTTATTTCTTTTTTTTTTTTTTTTCTTTTGAGGGTTTCTTTTCTTTTTTTTATTTTTTTTTATATTTGTTTTATTTTTCTTTTTTATCTTACTTCTTTTTTCTTTCTTGTCTTTTTTTTTTTTTTTCTTTATTTCTTTCTTTTTTTTCCTTTTTTTTATCTTCTTTTTTTTTTTTCTTTTTTTTTCTTTTTCTTTCTGTCCTTTTTATATTTTGTTTTTCTTTTTTTTGTTTTTTTCCTTTTTTTATTTTTGTTTTTATTTTCTTTCTTTCTTTCTTTTGTTTTTTTATTCTTTTTTTATTTGTTTTTGTATGTTTTTTTGTTTTTTCTTTATTTTTTTATTTTTTTTTTTTTTTTTCTTTTTTTTTGTGTGGGGTCTTTTTTCCTTTTTTGCTGCAGGTGGTCTTTTTTATTTTCTTACTTCCTGTTTTGGGCAGGGGGGCGGCGTTTTTTGTTTGTATGGTTTTATCGTACTTTTCTTGTTCTTTCTTTTATACTCTATTTGGGTTTTTCTATTGTTTTTTTGGGCTTTTCTGTTGCGTTCTTTGGCGTGTTTGGCGTATTTTTTTTGTTTTTTTTTTTTTCTTTTTTTTTTTATTCTTTTTTTCTCTTTATATTTTTTTTCTTTTTCTTTTGTTTTTTTTTTTTAATTTTTTTTTCTTCTCTTTTTTTTTTTCTCACTTCTCCTTCTTTTTTTTTTCTTTTTTTCTCCTTCTTTTTTATCTTTTTCTTTCTTTTATTTTTTCTTTTTTTTCTTTTCTTTTTTTCTCGATGCTCTCGGAATATACCGGCGTTAGAGAATTCCTTTAAGGTGATCTCGGGATGGTATTTTACCCCATCTCGATTAGCTAAATTTATACCAGATCATGACTCGCAGTGTTTTCATGGCTGTTCTCTAGAGGGTACGATGCTCCATATTTGGTGGACCTGTCCAGTGGCCCACCGATTATGGACTAGGGTTTACAATCTCATATATTCAGTTACGTCTATTAATCTAAAAAAAGACCCTATTGAAGCGTTGCTTTTTAAGCCACTCCATGGCCTACCTCGTTGACCCTCTCGCTTGTCAACTTTTGTTTTGTTTATGGCCACTAAGCAGACTATTGCCAGCTCTTGGAAGTCCCCCACTTTACAATTTGAGGAGGTCAGGTCTAGGATCCAAGGCGTCTTTATTAATGAAAAATTGATGGCAGTTTTGGAGCATAATCATGATAGGTTTCTTTCAGCTTGGCAACCTTGGGTGGACTACCACCCAATTTCTCCTTTTAACACGAAGCTTACTAATCTTTGATGTGTTGGGATTTTCCCCTTCAATCCCCCTATGTGGGGGTCGTGTCTCCCGGCCCTCCCGTCAGACAAACTTCTTTTCTTTTGCTGGTCTGTTTCTTTCTTCCCTTTGTTCTTTTCCTCCTTTTTTTTCCTGTCTTTTCTGGAGTGGGGGGGTCTGGGGTTCCTGAATCCTTGGTCCTCTTTGGATTTTCTCTCACTTTTTTTCTTTCTTCCTTCTTCCACATGGTTTGTTCCAAATAGACCAATTGCTTGTCATTTGTTGTTGTTATCTGATAGTTCTATGATTCTCAGGGAAAATATTTCTTCAAGAGGACGAGGCTCTCTCTGTGTTTTTGATGCTTTTCTCGAAGGTATCTTATGTATTTTATAACGTGATTGTGGGCTTCGTAGCCCCCTGTCTTATAATGTGTCATCTGGATCCCTGTGTGGGCCTTATATGTCTATTCCTGTGTTTCTGTGTGGTGTTTCCTTGTCCTCTGTTGTCTGTGGTGCTGCTTTCTATCATATGATTTGTCATGATTTGTATGTTTCTTTCACTCTGTTCAATAAAACGTTTAGTACAAGAAATAATGCTCGTAATAGTGTATTAGCAGAAGTTTTTTTAGGCGGAGAGTAGACGCTCTGCTCTTGGAGGTATAGGGGTGATGACTAGCATCGTGTAGGTTAGCGTAGTGTAGTTCAGTGTAGGTCCTGCCCTGAAAGAGTCTACCTTGTCGTGGTGGGCAGGCTTGTCATCTTTTGGTTAAAAATGTCAAAACTGGAGAAAGAATGTATTGTCTCTGGGCAGTTTCATTTTTGACCATGAGATTCAACTAAAAGACTCCTAGATTTCATATAGACAGACCAGAAAAAAATAGTTATATCTCTATATAGAAAAAAAGATGCAGACAGTAATCTGTACAAACTATTTTAAAGTGGCTTTGTATGTTATCAGCATTTTTAATGCTACACGTTTATTCCTTCCATTTCATGCCGGCAACATTTCTCTGATCTAATGTTTACAGGGGTATACTCTCTGGCCACGACACGACTCTGGAGATTTCTCTGCTGACCCACGGATGTTGATCAGGTGTCCAGGTAGGGTGGCGGCTTTCTCTTTGGGTCCTCATGCTGTTAGGTCTGCTGTCATAGGACTGCCTTGGTCATTCTTCTCCTCTGATCAGTCCTCAGTGTTGCCAATATAGAAATAATGCTCGTTCAGCAATCTTGGTCAAATGATCGGCCTATTTCTTTGTGAACCTCAAAAGTTTGACTAAAACTCTGGCCACTAGACTGAATGCGTTAATCCCTACTTTGACTGATAAAGATCAAGTACGTTTCGTACCTGGATGCCAGGCGGCTGATAATATCCGCTGCTCTGTTTTAATCAGTCACTTCGCTCGGATGCGATCCCGTGATCTTATGTTTTTGTCCTTGGACATGACTAAAGCCTTTGACACTCTTTCTTGGAATTATTTGCAGATTTCCTTGCGGAGATGGGGTGTAGAAGTTTATTTTCTTCGGTGGATTTATAGACTTTATAGTACTCCGTTCGCTACAGTTCGCTATCATGGGGTTGAATCCTCTCGGTTTCAAATTAGGGGTGGTACGCCTCAGGGTTGTCCCTTGTCCTCTTTTTTTATCATGGCCCTAGATCCCCTAACTGTTCGTATTCGGCTTCATGCGGACATTTCGGGTCTTGTGTTGGTGTGGGTACATCATACGATTGTGCCTTTTGCGGACGATATCCTGATGTATCTCTCTTCAACATTTGTTTCTCTCCCTAATCTCCTTTTGCTTCTTACTTATTTTGCTCATCTCTCGGGTTTACATGTAAATCCTATGAAGTCAATGACTATGAATATTTCCCTTCTTCAATGGGCTGTGGCGCATCTTCAATCCCAATTTCCATTTCAATGGACCTCCGCTCTTCCTTATTGGGAAGTTAAATTTACACCTTCTTATGATTTGTTATACCCGGCAAATATTCCTCCCCTACTTTCTCAGCTTACCAAGTTGATCTCTTCTTGGCAATCCATGACCTTATCATGGTTCAGTAGGGCTCATGCGATTAAAATGACCTACCTTCTGAAATTATTGTATCCTTTTCAAGTGTTCCCTGTTCGGGTTCCCCACCTCATACACTCCGTATTTTTTACTACACCAAATTTTGCCTTTTGTTTGGGCTTCGGCACTATTCCTCCCACTGACACCAATGATGGGGCACTATTCTTCCCACTGACCACTGATGGGGCACTATTCCTCCCAATGATGGGGCACTATTCCTCCCACTGACACCAATGATGGGGCACTATTCTCCCACTGACACCAATGATGGGGCACTATTCCTCCCACTGATACCAATGATGGGGCACTAGTCCTCCCTCTGACACCAATGATGGGGGACCCTATTCCTCCCACTGACACCAATGATGGGGCACTATTCCTCTCACTCTCTGGTCATCCCCTTTACTGTGTCCGCAGTCTCTGGTCATCCCATGTACTGTGTCCGCAGTCTCTGGTCATCTCCTGTACTATGTCCGCAGTCTCTGGACATCTCCTGTATTGTGTCCGCAGTCTCTGGCCATCTCCTGTACTGTGTCCGCAGTCTCTGGTCATCTCCTGTACTGTGTCCGCAGTCTCTGGTCATCTCCTGTACGTGTCCGCAGTCTCTGGTCATCTCCTGTACTATGTCCGCAGTCTCTGGTCATCTCCTGTACTGTGTCCGCATTTGTTCATTTTTTTTTTTTTAAACTATAGTCCGGCACTCCAACGGTCTGAGGGACAGTGAACTGGCCCCCAGTTTAAAAAGTTGAGGACCCCTGGCCTAAACCATTGAAACCTGTTATGGCTCATTCTTTGAAAATCTGGGACTCATGTAAGTATTCGGCGGGACTACTCTCCCCACATTTACCTCTTCTACAGTTATTCAACTGTCCGCTTTTTCCCCCGGGGAATTCTGATGAGATGGCATTTCTTTGGTAAATAATCCATTGCTTTACATCTGATCACTCATTGGTCGGGGTCTGCATACATTCGCGCAACTTCGAGAGTCATGCTATTCCTCCCTCAGAGATATTTCCATATTTGAAAATGTCATTTTCTTGCACCCTTGATTCGCAGACGGGATTCCCCCCGAACTTTATCTGGTTTTGAATCGCTTTGTAAGGCGTCGACTTCCACTAAAGGTGCCCTCTCTCATGTTTATTTATCAATCCAGAATCATATGGCTGAACCTTTACCTACCAATTGCGTACAATGGATTGTGGAGCTTCAGATGGAAATCTGCTGAGGATTGGGGGCCTATGTGACAAGCGGTTTCTCGATGCTCTCGGAATATACCGGCGTTAGAGAATTCCTTTAAGGTGATCTCGGGATGGTATTTTTTACCCCATCTCGATTAGCTAAATTTATACCAGATCATGACTCGCAGTGTTTTCATGGCTGTTCTCTAGAGGGTACGATGCTCCATATTTGGTGGACCTGTCCAGTGGCCCACCGATTATGGACTAGGGTTTACAATCTCATATATTCAGTTACGTCTATTAATCTAAAAAAAGACCCTATTGAAGCGTTGCTTTTTAAGCCACTCCATGGCCTACCTCGTTGACCCTCTCGCTTGTCAACTTTTGTTTTGTTTATGGCCACTAAGCAGACTTTGCCAGCTCTTGGAAGTCCCCCACTTTACAATTTGAGGAGGTCAGGTCTAGGATCCAAGGCGTCTTTATTAATGAAAAATTGATGGCAGTTTTGGAGCATAATCATGATAGGTTTCTTTCAGCTTGGCAACCTTGGGTGGACTACCACCCAATTTCTCCTTTTAACACGAAGCTTACTAATCTTTGATGTGTTGGGATTTTCCCCTTCAATCCCCCTATGTGGGGGTCGTGTCTCCCGGCCCTCCCGTCAGACAAACTTCTTTTTTTTTTGCTGGTCTGTTTCTTTCTTCCCTTTGTTCTTTTCCTTTTTTTTTTTTCCTGTCTTTTCTGGAGGGGGGGGGGGTCTGGGGTTCCTGAATCCTTGGTCCTCTTTGGATTTTCTCTCACTTTTTTTCTTTCTTCCTTCTTCCACATGGTTTGTTCCAAATAGACCAATTGCTTGTCATTTGTTGTTGTTATCTGATAGTTCTATGATTCTCAGGGAAAATATTTCTTCAAGAGGACGAGGCTCTCTCTGTGTTTTTGATGCTTTTCTCGAAGGTATCTTATGTATTTTATAACGTGATTGTGGGCTTCGTAGCCCCCTGTCTTATAATGTGTCATCTGGATCCCTGTGTGGGCCTTATATGTCTATTCCTGTGTTTCTGTGTGGTGTTTCCTTGTCCTCTGTTGTCTGGTGCTGCTTTCTATCATATGATTTGTCATGATTTGTATGTTTCTTTCACTCTGTTCAATAAAACGTTTAGTACAAGAAATAATGCTCGTAATAGTGTATTAGCAGAAGTTTTTTTAGGCGGAGAGTAGACGCTCTGCTCTTGGAGGTATAGGGTGATGACTAGCATCGTGTAGGTTAGCGTAGTGTAGTTCAGTGTAGGTCCTGCCCTGAAAGAGTCTACCTTGTCGTGGTGGGCAGGCTTGTCATCTTTTGGTTAAAAATGTCAAAACTGGAGAAAGAATGTATTGTCTCTGGGCAGTTTCATTTTTGACCATGAGATTCAACTAAAAGACTCCTAGATTTCATATAGACAGACCAGAAAAAAATAGTTATATCTCTATATAGAAAAAAAGATGCAGACAGTAATCTGTACAAACTATTTTAAAGTGGCTTTGTATGTTATCAGCATTTTTAATGCTACACGTTTATTCCTTCCATTTCATGCCGGCAACATTTCTCTGATCTAATGTTTACAGGGGTATACTCTCTGGCCACGACACGACTCTGGAGATTTCTCTGCTGACCCACGGATGTTGATCAGGTGTCCAGGTAGGGTGGCGGCTTTCTCTTTGGGTCCTCATGCTGTTAGGTCTGCTGTCATAGGACTGCCTTGGTCATTCTTCTCCTCTGATCAGTCCTCAGTGTTGCCAATATAGAAATAATGCTCGTTCAGCAATCTTGGTCAAATGATCGGCCTATTTCTTTGTGAACCTCAAAAGTTTGACTAAAACTCTGGCCACTAGACTGAATGCGTTAATCCCTACTTTGACTGATAAAGATCAAGTACGTTTCGTACCTGGATGCCAGGCGGCTGATAATATCCGCTGCTCTGTTTTAATCAGTCACTTCGCTCGGATGCGATCCCGTGATCTTATGTTTTTGTCCTTGGACATGACTAAAGCCTTTGACACTCTTTCTTGGAATTATTTGCAGATTTCCTTGCGGAGATGGGGTGTAGAAGTTTATTTTCTTCGGTGGATTTATAGACTTTATAGTACTCCGTTCGCTACAGTTCGCTATCATGGGGTTGAATCCTCTCGGTTTCAAATTAGGGGTGGTACGCCTCAGGGTTGTCCCTTGTCTCCTCTTCTTTTTTATCATGGCCCTAGATCCCCTAACTGTTCGTATTCGGCTTCATGCGGACATTTCGGGTCTTGTGTTGGTGTGGGTACATCATACGATTGTGCCTTTTGCGGACGATATCCTGATGTATCTCTCTTCAACATTTGTTTCTCTCCCTAATCTCCTTTTGCTTCTTACTTATTTTGCTCATCTCTCGGGTTTACATGTAAATCCTATATGAAGTCAATGACTATGAATATTTCCCTTCTTCAATGGGCTGTGGCGCATCTTCAATCCCAATTTCCATTTCAATGGACCTCCGCTCTTCCTTATTGGGAAGTTAAATTTACACCTTCTTATGATTTGTTATACCCGGCAAATATTCCTCCCCTACTTTCTCAGCTTACCAAGTTGATCTCTTCTTGGCAATCCATGACCTTATCATGGTTCAGTAGGGCTCATGCGATTAAAATGACCTACCTTCTGAAATTATTGTATCCTTTTCAAGTGTTCCCTGTTCGGGTTCCACCTCATACACTCCGTATTTTACTACACCAAATTTTGCCTTTTGTTTGGGCTTCGGCACTATTCCTCCCACTGACACCAATGATGGGGCACTATTCTTCCCACTGACACCAATGATGGGGCACTATTCCTCCCACTGACACCAATGATGGGGCACTATTCTTCCCACTGACACCAATGATGGGGCACTATTCCTCCCACTGATACCAATGAGGGGCACTAGTCCTCCCTCTGACACCAATGATGGGACCCTATTCCTCCCACTGACACCAATGATGGGGCACTATTCCTCTCACTCTCTGGTCATCCCCTTTACTGTGTCCGCAGTCTCTGGTCATCCCATGTACTGTGTCCGCAGTCTCTGGTCATCTCCTGTACTATGTCCGCAGTCTCTGGACATCTCCTGTATTGTGTCCGCAGTCTCTGGCCATCTCCTGTACTGTGTCCGCAGTCTCTGGTCATCTCCTGTACTGTGTCCGCAGTCTCTGGTCATCTCCTGTACTGTGTCCGCAGTCTCTGGTCATCTCCTGTACTATGTCCGCAGTCTCTGGTCATCTCCTGTACTGTGTCCGCATTTGTTCATAGTTTTTTTTTTTAAACTATAGTCCGGCACTCCAACGGTCTGAGGGACAGTGAACTGGCCCCCAGTTTAAAAAGTTGAGGACCCCTGGCCTAAACCATTGAAACCTGTTATGGCTCATTCTTTGAAAATCTGGGACTCATGTAAGTATTCGGCGGGACTACTCTCCCCACATTTACCTCTTCTACAGTTATTCAACTGTCCGCTTTTTCCCCCGGGGAATTCTGATGAGATGGCATTTCTTTGGTAAATAATCCATTGCTTTACATCTGATCACTCATTGGTCGGGGTCTGCATACATTCGCGCAACTTCGAGAGTCATGCTATTCCTCCCTCAGAGATATTTCCATATTTGGAAATATGTCATTTTCTTGCACCCTTGATTCGCAGACGGGATTCCCCCCGAACTTTATCTGGTTTTGAATCGCTTTGTAAGGCGTCGACTTCCACTAAAGGTGCCCTCTCTCATGTTTATTTATCAATCCAGAATCATATGGCTGAACCTTTACCTACCAATTGCGTACAATGGATTGTGGAGCTTCAGATGGAAATCTGCTGAGGATTGGGGGCCTATGTGACAAGCGGTTTCTCGATGCTCTCGGAATATACCGGCGTTAGAGAATTCCTTTAAGGTGATCTCGGGATGGTATTTTACCCCATCTCGATTAGCTAAATTTATACCAGATCATGACTCGCAGTGTTTTCATGGCTGTTCTCTAGAGGGT